TAATCATGAAAATGCGGTTCAAATCCATACTAATGCTAATCGTATGCATATGTCTGACGACAATCATATACTGTATTCTGGTGTCCGATCCCAAGAGGTCGGGTCTGGCGCTGGACTCCATCAACGCACAGCTCCGGCACCTCAAGGGTGTGGTGATCAGGGATCAGACCATACACTCCATACACAACATCTTCATCTTCAACAATAACCACAACTATAATCACAATCACATCAACGCTCAGCCAAACACTCATACGATTAGCGGTCATAATGAGGACATCGATAGCGAAGAGAATGAGCGAAAGTGCGGACAATATCTTCGTGTGTTAGGCCTCTGGAGGAATGGTAGCACCGATGAGGGCGCCGGCAGTTTAAGTGATGACCAGTTGGCCGCTGTGTGGCCGGTGTTTGTCACCGGGATCTCTGCCGAACAGTACGATGTGGGCAAAGGCTTCCTCAGGAGTTTCCAAGAGTTTACCACTAATTATAATAATAATTATTCGCTTATTGTCTATGATTTGGGTCTTAATAGACGACAACTACTCGCGGTAACTATGATTGCTTTATGATTATCACCCGTTTTTAGTGTCAATGCCTGTCCCCTAACCCCCAACCCATAGCTATATTACCGTTAGTGCTAATTATTAGTGAAATTGATGATAATGTGGTTTTTAGTGCACCACTTAATTGTATTACAATTTTTAATTGCATTTTTATGGATCCATTTTCTTATTGATTACACAATTGAGTGATTCATTAAAATTAGGATTTTTTGTTGTGTTGGCCCTCAAAGAGACTGATTTGCAAACTATGCGCCGATTTGATGACTAATTGTTTATATAATTGTGTTTTTCTCGTTGTAATGAAAACGAGTTATTTGACGGTTTTTCGCCGAAACTTATTTTTGATTTTTGCTTTTCAAACATCTATCCAATGAGTCAACAATTATTTCAATACTAATTGCTTTTATAATGAACCCCTTGTTATAGTCAATACCGGTGTCTGTATTAACATTAATAGCCATTCAGTCTATATATAATTGGGAATATATTTAACATTTAAATAAATTATGAGCTGATTATGAATAACACGACATATAAAACAGACATCCGATTAGATAATGACGAATAAAATAAATGTTTATTTATAGCAAATCGACGCTATTTCTAGGGATCAATGTGTTTGACATTTGATTAGCTTTTATGGCATTTTTCATAATTAATTGAACGAAACATTTCTAATGGGTTTCTAATAATAGTAAATGTGTTTCAATTTCCAACAGATAAGCCGTATTTGCAATGAATCTCAAACACCAAACCTGACCCGAAGTGATACGAGTGCACCGCACCAGCAGCTGAACACTGCCGCCTCCAGTAAAGCCCCTCAAGGGGTGGGTGCGGGTGTGAGCCAGACGTCGTGGTGTACAATACGGCGGTTTGATTACGACTTATTCCCGGCTCACGTGTCGGATCTCAAACTATACGCCTATCGGCCACTAATACTGCAGTTAGTGCTGAATGAGTTGGGAGCGGCCGTATGGCTCGACCCCAACTACTATGTGATGGCCGGTGCGGCCGCTGTCTCATCAAAGGTGCACCGGTTGACCGATAGGGCGCGCCGGGAGTCGGGAGTGCTGTCGTGGACTATAGAGCAGCCGACGTCTAGTCTGACGCACCCGAAGATGTTTGACTACTTCAAGACACACCAGAATCAGTACTACTTTCACCGAATGGTCAAACCCTCGCATATAGTGCTCTACAATACGCGCAAAATTCACGAGCAACTGATGCTGCCGTGGGTTAAGTGCGCGCTGACCCCCGAATGCCTGTCCCCTATCGGCTCGCAGGCCAGCGGTTGTCGTTTCGATAAGAAACCGCTGTATCGGTACAGCGGTTGCCATCACTACGACACGTCGGCGCTCAACATAGTGTTGGGACAGATGTTTGACTTCAATGAGAAGCCGTACGCCGCGCCAGAAGAGGACAAGTTCTTCCGTCTCGTGACCATCGCTGACGACCAGATCTACACCGACGACGACATAACGGCGGACACGGATTACGGCGTCCAGTCGTCGGCCAGTTATGGCGTTGGCAGCGCTCGCGTCGGACGCAATCATAGCCTATAGTTTGCGGCGAGAAATGAATTCGTGAATTGCATTGAAATTCATGTCGCGATTGCTTTATCGCTGAGCTTTTGGTTATCGATTGACGCGTTTTTGTATCGATTCTCACAAATCGTGTATTGATTTGCGTTTTCCAGACATTTGTTATTTTGGAGACAAGTTTTTTACGATCAGTTTATTTTGCATTTCCTGTTATTTTTATTATGGATTTGATTATGAGATATGAAATCTTGTCTGTAGTTATAGTTTTCATGCGATTTCAATGCCTCTCTAATTATTGGGAATTTTTGAGATAAAGTGAATGAGTGAATGAGTGAGTGAGTGAGAGAGAGAGAGAGAGAGAGAGATTCACTTCTAGCATTAAATGATTAGGAAATTAATTGTGAAATTATTTATCAATATTTTGAATCCAAACACGAATTAAAACTTACAGTAGTTTGCGAGAGAAATGAGTTATTATTTTTCTAGAATACGATTAGAAATGCTTTTAATTTTAAATCATGAGTTGATTATAAATTTTTATATTAGATTATGAAACGAAAATGATTGTGAAAAAACTAATTTGTTTTTTATGGGTTAATCCCTTTGTGTGTTGAAAGGGATTAGCGATCTTAAGACACACTAGTCTTTGAATGAATAGCAATTCATTAGTATTTTTGAGACCAAAGTTTTTGTTGAGCGGCTATTCGTTTGGCATATATTTTACAATTAAATTGATTTTTTGTTTCGAGTGAATGAGTCGTCTATTCATAGCTCTAACAGTATTTTGTTTGCCATTTGTTTCTGACCACAGAATCTGTATTTGAAATGAAGTTTCAATGATTTTCTCATTGAATACTACTTTTGTTGAACACAAACACTCAAACTATTTATGAGTTGTTGATTGTATTACTATTATTTTAATTATTACTTAATTTTGAGTTTTTATTATGTTTTTTGCTCTGAATTCTTGAATTGTTTTTCTGATGTTTAAACTAAAATCTCATATAAAAAAGATCTTGAAATGAAATGAAATGGAAATTTGTATTTGAATTTCTATGGAAAATATAATATAAATTTTTATTATTACACTATTTATACGACTCATCAAAAATGAATGTATAATTGAAAAGTCACACTAAGATTGCAAACATTTTTGTCAATTATGTTATGAAATTAAATAAATGTGTTTTTTATACAAAATTTAATTCTCATTATTTTAAAAAGTATTTTTAAATCAATTAATTCTAAGAGTTGGTTGAAACCTATTTTTATCATAAGATTCTTACCAAAGGAATCAATAAATAGAAAAAGAGTTGAAATTAGAAATAATTTGAAATGAAGTGAAAAATAAAAATATGAAATAAAGCGGAGGGGTTTGGGTTTGGGGCCTAATATATGTACAGTTATTATGACGGTCAGGGATCCAAGGGGTCCGGACAGGGCTCGACACTCCCAGCCCGTGGCTCGAGTGGTCTGCCAACGGGGTCGCCTCCGGGAGGTCTCCGGACCAACCGGGAGGGGGTCGGTGTGTGTCCGCCAGGATTGTGTTGACCCCTCCCAGTCTGTCCGACCCATCCTTGTGCCCAATTCACCCCAACCGCTGGTCACCCCTTACCCCTCCGCAAGCCTTGACCTTCTACTTGAGTTGGATGACCCCCACGTGGGCCACCCACCGGACCACTACCAGTATAATATAGATGACTGTCCGGAGCACCTGTACGATGGTTGGTGTCAACCACATGACAACAGATGCGGTTAACTCTATGCCTCTGCACAGGACTCCTATTCCTCTGAGAATCG